TCGGCATCCAACGACTGGCTACGGCACCTACGGGTTTCCTCGACGTCACGAAAAGCGGTGATGTAAGTTCTCAAACGCTTGATGCGAGTCCGATATCTCCAAAACTCCTACTCCTTGGTACGCACCAAGTCGGAAGAAAAAACGTCCTTAATAGGCTCGAGGTTGTGCTTTCCAAGAAGAGGAACCAAAACTCTATCCAGGTCGGCCCGACGAGCTATTAGGACGGCGGCAAACTCCGTATGCAAAAAAAATCTACTCTAGTGCCGTCGAAGGGTGTAAGCCGGTCGGCAAAGTCTTTCGCCCAACCACACATCTCAAACTTGTGGAGATCAGATTGTCGTTCATGAAAAGCAAGGATATGCGTGTTCATCCTGAAAATGCGAGCTTGACACTCTTGTGCCTGCTCATCTTTACCACCGCCCTAACAAAATGACGGTAGTCTCTTTCCCAAACGGACGACGATCCATGACGTCTTGAAGAGCTTGACATCAACAGCGCAAAAGAGAGCAGATTTAAGGAAAGAAGAGTGAAGTATGAGAAAGAAATCTCACTTGTTACGACATATTCACGATTGGTTGCTCGCCTGTTACTTCTCTGATACGCCTCCTTGGCACCAGATGAGAAGATTCAGCCGATATTGCCTCCGATTCATATCGAATTGGAGAGGAACAGCGACCGCCACTAGGCAAGCTCAAAGGAGTCCGCTCGGCAAGATAGTTTTTGCAAGAGCCCGACATCTTTAAATAACAATAGATCGTCGAAAGAAAAATATGACAAGCAAAACAACACAAGAAAAGAGAAAAAGGAGAGCAGGAGCACTACCTGATTTTTAGATGATTGGAAAAGTGAATGACAAAGCGGAAACACGAAGTATTTATAGGAAGGAAAGGAGAGCTGAACGCCGCTTACTGAGCAGACGTAATCATAACGATTCGCGATGATTACGCGCCTAACGCAAAAGTCGTGACCCGCCAACTTCCCAAGACCTCGAGAGCAGGTTCAAGGTAAAGCATACCAAATAACAGAGTGTCACGTGGCGCTTCAAAGAAACCCGCCGATTGGAAACGGCATATGAAGTCGAGCCGATCATCGCGCAAAAGTGTGGAGTCCAATTCCTCATCTCAAGTCTATATGTTTCTCAGTATATATTATATTATAGGGAGTTCTGGCTGATCAATGGGAGAACAAAGAGTTCTAGCCTCCCATTTAGTACGTGTCTTAACTTCTCTCTCCACTTCCTGAAACGAAATTTATTCATAAGGTCATAAAATATAATTCTCTCACAGTTGATCCCTGAAGCTAGAATAAATGTTTTGTTGTAATGTACCTCTTCATCGCACCAGGGAGCTAGGACGAGTTTCTTTTCTTCCAGAGCTTTGATCAAGTCATCCCAAGTCGTAATCTCTTGGAGAGGTGCTTCCATCTTTTGCTTTGCAGATTCATACAAGTTTTGCTGGATGTTCTTAAGCGGTTTCTTAACAAATTCTACTATGTTACCTCTTGAAATTTATACCTTTACTCCATTGTCACGTCTAACCATTCTAACATGTAGTTGTAAACCAGAGATAAACAAATTCCCTTTAGCTATATTACTAATTTACATTTTCAAACCAAACATGCAAACCATACAATTCACTTAATGTTGAATAAATATATAGAGGAGACGTTTAAGTGACTGACCTGATCATTTTTAAGATCTCTCGGTCCAATATCAATCCTTAAAGGAACGCCCTTCATTTCTTAGTTTGTGTACTTTTGCTTAAGTGACATTTTGTCCCTTACATCTGCTTCAGCATGGATACCAGCTTCACACAAAGCAATTACAATAGAATTACAAGCCCGACGAATTCCTTGGCTATTAGCATCTTTAGTTTTGAAAGCCACAGCAGGAATGACAACAAGTCCCTAAAGGTCAGTCAGATAGAATGTTGGATATGGGCCTCGTGGGACGAGGCCCCTCCACTGTTTTGCGCTCGGCTCAGCCAGGGAAGTGACGTGGCATCGGCATCACAAGAAGATAAGGAACGAACATGCGTCAACAACGGCCCATCCATTACTCGGCCTCTTGTGGTCGGCCCATTGTAGTGCCGACCAGCTTTTCTCTCCCTTTTTAATTTGTACTCGCTGATCCCTAATTAATGTAAGAAGTGCCTTCTTGTTTGACCTCTAACGTAGACTTGATACCTCATTGACGATATCTACTATCTACCATCTCGTCTCTCTCTCCTCTTCTCTCCTCACGGTTATTTCTTCTTCTCCATTACGCTCCCTTTTCCAGAGCAACACACAACCACAATAACACCGAAGTAGCTTCAGACTCAGGCTGCTTTTCTTCCTCACGTATCCGATGACACAACATACAATGGTAAGGCAACTCAACACAACAACAATAACTCACGAGCTCTTCTTCTTACCAACAAACATCATCAACAACCACGACAATGACTATAGCTTTTGAAGGCTCATAGGTCAGGATGATGGTTTGTATTAAGGGTTTAAAACTCAAAGACATCGATATATGGTTATACACACATATACAGAAGCAAACACACAAAATAACAAACCCTTGTCGTTTAGCTTTTGGTTCAAATGGACTTTCATTGGGATGCATCATTATATAATAACATACTGACCCAATAAGAGGGAGTGGGGTGTTACTGATCTCAAACTCACTAAATAGCATACCAGAATAGATTAAACATATTAAACCAAATTAAATCATTAAGTAACTAGAGAAAAAAAATTAGTAAACTAATCCCATAACAAGAACCAGCAAATATCCAAACTGATAGACACGAGGACGTGGATCTATTCTCCAAGGACACACTTTTTTTTTTTTACCTTGAAATGATGTGGTTGATGGTGAATAATGGATTGATCTCGAACAAAGAAGCGGAATGATGACGAAAAGGGATGACGATGAGATCAAGTGGATGCTGCGGAATGAAAGGGGGAACGAGTTGTACATCCAAGAGTGATGAAAAACTCTTAGACTACGAGCTTGAAACCAACTTAGATATTACACACTAAGAAGAAAACAAGTTGAAAAGATATTACACACTTTTCGGATCAAACAAGTAAAAGAGAGAGTTTTTGATTAAAATGTTTGATGCCTTGCAAATGAGAGATACATGGAGTTTATATAGAGAGTGAGGATGAAGGAGAGGAGGGAAGAGAAGATAAACATGCAAGAGCATGCACAAATCCACACTCATGCAAGCTCATGCAAAGAGTCTTGGAGCGAAAATGGAAAATGGGCCAAGGTATTATGAGTGGGCCATGGACCACGAATTTGGCTGATAAAGGAAGGCTTGAAAGTGTTAATTAGGTCTCATTAAAACCCTTTTCAAGAAAATCTATTAGGACAAAACTTGACAAGGGAAAGAGACTGCATAAGTAACACTTAACCCTTTGCCAAACACCTTGGACCGTGATCATCATGAAGAAGGATTGATCTAGGTCTTCTTGGTTCTTGTTTAGCTCCTTGAGTAGTCCATTGATGTTAGTCCATTGATGTCTTGGTTGAAATTCTTGGATCTTGATCTTGTTAGAGGACCCGCCAAAACGATTAATGATTCCTCTGGTACAAGCTGTTCCTCGGCTTCATATTGCTCTTTGTCTTTGTGTGGTTCAAGTGGTTTGGTTGGATTGGTCATGATATCATCATCCTCTCCCACTTGAAAAGGATTTGATCTAAAATTCTAATTATCTGCAAAATAAGATTGAAGATCGTATACATTGAAGCTACCATTCACATTATACTTACCTTGGAGATCGAGTTTGTAGGCATTGTTGTTGATCCATTTGAGAACTTTGAATGGTCCATCTATTCTTGGCATTAGTTTAGATGATCGCTCTTTCGGTAAATGCTCCTTCCTAAGATGAACCCACACTTGATCGCCTTCGTTGAAGGTGACTTTTTAACCTTTGTTCCCATACTCCGCGTAAAGCTTCGTTCGAGCCTCAAGATTTTCCTTAATCTTCTTGTGAACATTTTGTACTAAATCGGCTTTCTTCTTACCATCGAGACTTGATCTTTCACTCAAAAGGTAAAGGCATTAGATCCAAAGGAGATGTGGGATTGAACCTATAAATGATTTCAAAGAAGAAAACTTAGATGCGGAATGAATCAAATGATTATAAGCAAATTCAACATGCGACAAGCAATCTTCCCAAGTCTTAAGGTTCTTTTTAATGAGCACACGCAATAAGGTAAACAATGTTCTATTTACAACTTCAATTTTACCATCGGTTTGCAGATAACATGTAGTACAGAAAAGCAACTTAGTTCCTAACTTCGAAAGTTTTCTAAAAATAACTAAGGAACTTAGTATCACGATCAGAAACTATGGTCTTAGGAAGGCTATGCAAACGAATAACTTCTATAAAGAACAAGCTAGCAACATGAGATGCATCATTGGTTTTATGACATGGAATAAAATGCGCCATTTTAGAATTGCGATCAACAACCACAAAGATAGAACCCTTACAGGTAATCCTACGACAAAATCCATAGATATATCATTTCAAGGATGCAAAGGAATAGGTAACAGGGTATACAAACCTCCGAGATAATGTGTCCGCTACAACATTATCTTTACCTTTTATGTACTTAATCACGTATGGAAAGGTTTCTATGAATTCGATCCACCATGCATGAAGTTTGTTGAGCTTTTTTTTTTACCCTTTAAGTGCTTGAGAGACTCGTGGTCGGTATGAAAGATGAACTTTTTCGGCCATAGACAGTGTTGCCACGTTTGTAGTGCTCGGACCAACGTGTAAAGTTCCTTATCTTAACTCAGATAGTTGAGTGTCGCTCGTCCTAGCTTCTCGCTAAAGTATGCTATGAGCTTATGATCATGCATAAAAACAGCTCCAATACCAATCTCGAATGCATCACACTCAATTTCAAAAGTTTTCATAAAATTAAGAAAAATTAAAACGGGATAATTAGTGAGCTTCTTTTTCAAGGTTTGAAAGGCGTTTTCCTGTGCATCTTCTCACTTGAATCCAACGTACTTTTTGAAAACTTCCATAAGTGGAGCGGTAGTGGTGCTGAAATCTTTGACAAATTGTAGGTAAAATCCCGCTAAATCGTGGAAGCTCCTTACTTCGCTCACATTCTTAGGACTAGGCCATTCTTGAATTTCCTTGACCATTTCTTCATCAACCTTGATTCCATCTGCACTTACAACAAAACCTAGGAAAACAAGATTATCTGTGCAAAAGGTGCACTTCTTCAAGTTCCTTTTGAAGCAAGTCTAAAACAAGTTTAAGATGCATGACATGAGCTTCCAAGTTTTTGTTATAAACCAAGATGTCATCAAAATAAACAACAAAATATACTCCAATATGCTTCCTATGGACATGATTCATCATTCCCATGAAAGTGCTAGGTGCATTTGTTAGCCCAAAAACCATAATTAATGATTCATACAATCTTTTTTTTAGTTTTGAAAGCCGTTTTCGATTCATCACCTTCCTTAATCCGGATTTTATGATAACCATTTTTAAGATCATTTTTCGAATAGATGCTAGAACCATACAATTCATTAAGCATATCATCTAATCGAGGGATAGGGTAGCGAATCTTAACCGTGATATTGTTGATGGCTCAACAATCAACGCAGATGCGTCAACTCCCATCTTTCTTTGGTACTAGTAAAACATGAACGGCACACAGACTCATCCTTTCTCGAATATGACCCTTTGTCCATAAGCTCATTTACTTATTTCTCGAGTTCTTTTGTCTCGGTCGGGTTGGTGCGATAAGCTGGTTGGTTCGGTAGAGAAGCTCCCAGGACAAAAGTCAATTTGATTCTCGATCCCTCGGATCGGTGGTAAACCTATGGGATTATCTTCCCGAAACACGTTCTTATACTCTTGAAAAACCAACTTGATCTTACTCGGTAGCACCGGTACGGAATTAGTTGAACAAGTAAGAGTTTCTCTGAAAACAAAGGGTAAACTATTTTCACTTACCTTGTTCTAGCCCTTTGTATCGATTGGTTCGGTTGGTTTAATGGCTCGTTGTTTCATACTTAGCTAGTCGAGATAGACTTCATGCAGAGTCATCGGGATGAGAATTTTCTTTTGGATATTGTGTTCAAAGGTCTGCTGGTTGGTGAAGCCATAGTGAAGCATGTGACTAGCTTCGATATGTAGAATGTCGAACATGATCTCATCTTGATACTTCCCAATTGAAATTGGTACATTGACTTGTTCTTTGACTGACATCTCACCCGTTTCATTGAGCCATTGGATTGAATACGTTCTCAGGTGTTTAAGCACTTCTAAACCAAGCTACTTGAGCATACTCATGCTCGCAACGTTAGTATAACTTCCACCATCGATAATCAAACTACATACCTTATCTTTCACCAAGAAACTTGTATGAAATAAATGTTCTCTTTGCGCTTGATCCTCGGCCATTGTTAGAACATTCAACGATCTTCTCGCAACAAGCAACTCTCCTTTAGTGGGGGCATCCATACCTTCTTCCATTGAGTCTTCTTTCGAACGCTCATCTTTGGATTCTACTTCGCCATTGTCTCTAAGGACCATGATCCTTTTGTTGGAACACTTCCTCGCGTAATGCCCAACTCCTTGATACTTAAAGCATCAGATATCTCTAGCCCTCGTGATTACTTCCTTACCCTTTGCTTTCAGATCTAGATCGACCGGTTTCGACTTGACGAACGGCTTGTAATCTTTTTGATAACTGGACTTCTCTTCCTATTGATAACTTGGCTTTCCCAAGCTGTAGTTTGTCTTGCTGTGGCTTGATCAGGCGTTCCTTCTCTTGATTTGCTACTCGAACATGATCACCTTGTAAAAACCTCCTAATCAAGATCCACATAGTGTTGAGTTTCTAGACGGTCTTGAATTTCTTGGTTGAGACCTCCCATGAATCGGAACATGACTGCATCTCCATATTCTTGAAGATCAGCTCTTAACATAAGGGTTTCCATTTCCTTAAAGTATTCTTTGACGGTCTTGCTTCCTTGAACCAAATTCCTCAAGCGCTGATGTAGTTCTCGATGATAGTAACTCGGCACAAATCTCTTTCGCATGACGATTTTCAGCTGGTTCTATATTTCGACGGATAGTCTCCGACACGTCTTAGGCTAGTAACAAGTTGATCCCACCAACATAGGGCACTAATCTTTTTATCAATCAACGTTGTCATGGCTGATGTGACTGATTTCAAAATCTTCCTTTCAAGGCTAGATGTAGGTGACTCTTCTCTTTTTTTCACTAGATACCATTGTACCTGAAAAATCAAAAATTTAACAAGTAAACAGTCCAAAGCCAGGCAAAACTAAACAGATCGGAAAAATATCATACGACTTCAAAAATCCTGAAATCAGTATTTAAAATTACTGGACTCTTTACTGGTATACACGTTGTTTTTGGCATCAAAAGATATGCATCAATGGGGTTTTGTATTACTTAGCAGAATGTTTTGATGAACGGAACGATAAATGGTGTAATTATGCCATAGTTTACTTTGATGTTTGGTCTGAGAAATTCAAGTTTCTAAATCAAATTCTGGACTGCTTTAAAGATTATAATGACTAAATTAAATTAAGAAACTATAAGGGAAAATCAGGTGTAATTTGTTTGTAAGATAATTATGAAGGTGGATGTCCCCTTAAGTTATATATATCGGTTCTAGAGGATTTTTTTTTTGTCCAACAATTCTAGAGGATGTTAAGAAACAGAACTGTGCGACATATGCCTACACTTTGAGGGCTGAGAATAAAATCAAGGACGACGACTATATTTCCGTTGTTGGGATGACTGCTATAGGTGAAATTCTTTTGGCGAGGGAGAATCATTATAAACCGTTTAATGTTTTTTACTTTAATCCTGAAAGCAACACTCTCCTAAGTGTTGAAATCCAAGGCATCTATCTATCTATATATATAAAGTTAGCTTTTCTCTCGTCTCATGATGCCACCTAAGCATCCACCTAAGCAACATTTTTATTTTTACATTAAAATAAATTTAAAATATTCATTTAGTGCATATTTATGATACTTATAATTAATATAAAATTTATATCAATAAAAAATAAATTATGTAAAATAAATGAAACGTTAAAATAAGAAAAAAAAATTAATAATTTTTAGAGAATTTTTGAGAAAATACCCCTTTTGGTGTACCCCTTTTTAAAAATACTCCTATTTTCTATCCATTTTCAAAAATAACCCTTTTCAAATATGAAAAATTATAAAATTTTATATGGTTGATAAGGTACATCAAGATCATCATTACTATTAGGAGACTAAATCCAAATATTTATAAAGTTTTAAAAGGTTCTAAACGGCATTTACAACCTTTTATAAGGTTTTTAAAAGGTTTACAAATTTTTTATAAGGTTTTTAAATAATTTTTTGGAAGGTATTTATACGATATTTATGAAATATATATATAAATTTACACAGATATAAAGATAATTTGTGTCTATAAATATTAGTTTACACATATTTCTTTGATAAATTTCAAATTTTATAGTGACTTTTTGATAAAATTAGAATGAGGGGTATTTCTAAAAAGTGGTATTGGAAAAGGGGTATTTTTGAAACTCCCCCCCCCCCCAATTGTAGAACCAAGAATTCGCACAAGGGATCTAACCGGATTGTTTTGGGTAGATTCGATTGAGAAGAAGATTAGGTTGCTTGAAGAACTTGAAGAACAAACTAGTGTTTTAAGTTAGAGAATATGGTTTTTGTATTAATGTTTCAATATCCCTTAATAGGGGATAACCCCCCCCCCCCTATTTATACTAATTACAAGATATGTTAATCCCATGAATATAAGGATTAATATTCCTAATTAAATTGGGAACTTGCTGCCCAAGTTACGTCGGCGACCTGATGGGCTTTTGCCCTAGGCCCACATTTAAAAAGAGCTTAAACCGGTTCAATCAGGAGATCCCAGTCCGGTTAAATGCGGTATGATGTTGGTGCTAAACCATGCACCAATAGTAAGTCCACCCCCCCCCCAGTTTAATAGACTGAATGTTCATTCGAATCTTAATAAACTTTAGAGTGATTCTTGTATTTATGCGGACTGGGATAAATGATTAAAACCGGGAATCCCCCTTTATTTTTGACACGTGGAAGCCATTCGTGGTGCGGCGGCTAGGTCGGAAGGCGAAACGGCGTGTAGGTCATCATTACGCTTCATAGGGTTTGTCACCTACTTCTTCCTCTATATATACCAGACGCTTGTCTCCATTTTGCCTCATTTGCTCATGTTTCATCGAAAAAAGTAATTCTGCTTCGTTCTCTCTCTTCATAACCTTAGTCTGCTATTTATACAACTTTGCCCGTTTCGTTCCATACTCTTCAACCTAAGATGTCGCCCAGAAGGATTATTCCAACTCCGATGGTAAGGAGAATAACTGATGAAGCCGAGACACCGCAAGGCCCAGAAAACTCTTCAACTGGTGGAGTCGAAGAACCAGATCGTGAAACCCAAGGCAATGCTCCCAAAGCGAGCGACCTGACGACCGGGTCGTCGAGTAGATCGTCGCAGATTTTGAAAAGGTCGCCAGTCGCTGAGGACGGATTCGTTCCCCTAAATGTTTTCGAGGAAGACATTTCACCTCCACGTGATCATAATGGTTCGATCGGAGGAGCTCCAAATTTAAATTTAAAATGTGTTACTGAGTTTTAAACTAATCATAGTTTAAAATTTTAAATGTGTAAATTTTAATTCATGATACAATATTGGAATCACTCCAAATTTAGTTCACACAAGGATCAAGAGCTTCCAATCTTAGCTTGCAGACGGTGCATTTAAAGTAATAAAAATCTCTTGATCCTTGTGTGATCTAAAGTTGGAGTGATTCCAATCTTGTATCATCTGGTATCATAGCTGATTATTAATCTGATGCTGATTTTTGCCTTGTACTTGATCAGAACTCCATTTAGGCAAAGATTCTCTAAAATTCTCAATGTAGACCGGTTTGATGTGTGGACTGATTGGTTTGGTGTGCTCCCGGTTTGACCTAGTTCTGATGTCAGCATCATACCCTCTCCCTTGAAAACATTTTGACCTCGAAACTATAAAATCTTGGTATTGTTGTGGCTTTATGATGGATGGTGCATCAGGTGGCTATCCTTTGAGCAAGAAATATAGGACCACTCCTTGTTTTTGATCGTGTACAACGGTTGATGGTGTAATGTGCTTAGCTCCTTCTCGGGTGTGTGCTTGAGCTTTGAAATCCGGGGGTTCCTCTTTGATTAAGAAAGAACTTGAGACTCTCCTAGTCTCCATTAGGGATGGTGTGACCACCAATGGTGATGGTTTACTCTGGTTCCAGTTTTGATTCAAGCGTTCTTCAGCTCTTGTAATTCGCCTTCATGATCCTCATGCAAACCTGAAATGTAATTGACCTTTTTGGCAAAGAACAAGTGCATTAATAAATTCATGAGACCAGTACAAACATGTAAAATAAGTATAGGCTTAACCATTTCTTTTTCATAAAGTTTATCAATAAGTATGTCACAAAGTAAATCAACTGTTGAATATGATTTAAGATAAGAATTTGATTCTACATGTTTATTTAAAGAACCGACGTTTCTTTCACACTTTCTAGATCTTAACTAGTTCATTATCACATTGTTCAACTTATTAGAAATAACTCGAAGTAATGTGTTACTTACTTGACATAGATCTGCGTTGAGTGTATCTTTCGAAGTAACCACTATTGGTTGATTCGATGACTGGTCCGGTGATTTTTCTTGCAGTAGAATTTTGTTGGTGCTAACTTCATCATATATAGTAGCTGGTAAATACATCTTAAGCTCTTGATTTGGATGCATGTTATTATTCTTCGCTAGTTTCTCCGTTTGTTCCACATTCAATATCTTTTGGGATGTGGTCTCTCGCTCATCATGATACTCTTTTGTGGTACCTGTATCTTTCTTGACACTCAAGAATAAAATCAAGTGCATTATACTTGAAATATAATCTTTTAAAATAAAGTTTTGAAGCTACGATTAATTATTAATTTATTCCAATATCAAACAAGATCGTAGGTTTCACTTACTAAGATACCGTGTAAGGTGTTTGGCATTAACTCAACCTTAATGAGTGTGATCTTAGAAGCAAAACGAGATGATGTTGAACATAGTTGTGCCTTCACACGTGCTACAATGGTTGCTTGCTCATACGTCTTATTTCGGCAAAGTTGTGATGACGTTGTTTCCGGAAGTTGCTCTTCAATTATGTCATTCTCAACTTCCCTTGGAGTTGCTACATGGTGGTTTAATTCTTCAGCCTTATCATCCATCATATGACTTAGACCTACATCAATAACCTTTGGCAAATACAAGCCCATTAATCCCGAATTGGGAATTTCTAAACTTGATATCACAAGACAATCTTTTGACTTAGATGCATTCGGTTGTAACTCTATTGATGCGATATCTTTTACTTTTCTTTCATCACAAGTTGCATCAAAATGACCTCTCATATGGCATCTACAACATGTTGGTGCATTTGAATTTAAATATTTAGAGGACTTACCTTGCTCGGGTTTATCTTGCGGCTTATGCAAAGGTATTGGAGTCGACTCTTCCTTTCCATATATACCTTTCTCATTCTTATTGGATGAAAGAAAGTGTATCACGTGTTTAACTTGTTGATAGTCATTAAGCTTAGAAGTTCTAGCACTTACCTTGGCGGGTTCTTGATCGGCGTTTTGATTAGAACTAACATGTTGATGTGTTGTAGTCTTTCGGCTTGGTTCCTTTGAATTGTAAGTGTTTTGACTAGGCTGGAACATCAGTGGAGGTGCATATCTCTCCCTCATAAGCAACTTTAGTTGTCCCCACGTTTTGAGTGGTGGCTCGTTGTACCATTGTCTATCTTTTTCCTCTCGGTTCCACCAACGTTTTTTGCTTCCAATGAGTTGTTCAAGACAGTAGGAGAGCCTCGCTTCCTTGGGAATGGCATAGTACCTAAAGTACTTGTCCATTTTGATCCCATTGTAGATAATGTCTTTTATGTCCTACAAACTCAAAACATTCAGGTCTAAAATACTCATAACCATTGTTTAGAGATAACCTGAATTTTGTCTACTGGTTTCGGGTGGGATAGGATAGCAACGGGTCTCTTCTTACACCATGTTTTAGCTCGCCTCCTCTTAGCTTACTGGTCCTTGTGTCTCTCTCAGCTAAGGGATCACGTCTACCACTCGGATGTGGTTCAAGTCGGATTGATGATCCTTGCATCACTTCATGTACTACTCGTGAGTTTGTGCAGAATTACTTGTCTCTTGATTTTGCTTGACGTGAGGCTGTAGGCACTCTATGTAACAAGAGGTGATGGTCGGTCTTCTCTTCACGCCTTGGAGCACGTCGAGAATGGTAGTCTTTTGCGGTTTTTCTTTTATACTCCATGTCTTTACCCCACTTAAGGTAATCATCTTTTCCTGAAAAATACGTAATTTGGGTCAATGGAGATTTTGAACCATGGCTGCAAAAATCATCATTAAATTTAATCCATGGTTTAAAATAGCCTTTATTGGTGTTGTATGATTCAGGCAATTATGGTTCTGGAGCTTCATGGTCTGGTTCATCTCTTGAATCAGAAGTTGAAATATCATCTCGTTGCCACGAGATTGTTCCATAGTTGTCTTCCTCATCCGACGTGACTTGATAGGGGTCTTCTCCTTGAATTTCTTCATCAAGTCACTATAGACTCTATATTTTCTCTTGTCTTCGTAAAAAAAGAAGCTTGCACAAGCAAAAGAAAGATGTATCAAAAGTAAATCAAGAAATAAGGAAAATACTTACGTTAAAAAAAGAAATAAAAATTCTTTACTTTTTTTTAATAAATCCAAAAAAAATAAAATAGGAAAAGAAAAAATGCAGTTTTTATTTTCTTTTCTGGTTACAAAAAAAAAATTTAAAATTGCAGAATATAATTTGTTTGCTTTTTTCATTTTAATAAATCAAAAAATAAATAAGAAAATGAAGTAAATCACACTTCTTTTTTTTGATAAAATACTGATGAAAATAATAAAAATACAGCAAGAAACAAAAATTTTATTTGGATTTTTTTAATTATTTCATAAAAATGAATAAACGAAGAAAAAAAAACAAATATAGGTTGAAAAGATACAACCTTGGATAGGAGCTTTTGAAACTCTAATATCAGATGATAAAAGACTAGAATCACTCCAACTTTAAATCACACAACAATCAAGAGATTTCAAGCTTAGTTTGCGGAAGGTGGAATTCACGAGGTGTTTCTGAAGCACTCTCTCGTGAATCAAGGGGTGGTACAGGGGATAAATCAGGTGATTGACTTTCTCAATCAGTGCGATAATCGACTCACTTGATCAATGGACGAATGAAGGGATGTTGAATCACACAACAAACTTAATCCGCAGGTTTCTAAAGAACAAAGTGACTCACTCACAAAGAACTAAAAAACAACAATAACAAAGACAAACTTTGACAAGAAGAAACTTTATATTACTTTAAATTGATCAAAGGTGTCTTTATAATGAACAAGATAATGAGCTTATATAGGATCAAGTATATATCTTAATAATCTAAACCAAGAAACAAATGGCACAAAGTTAAATATACTAGCCGTTGGGACTTTATGAACCAAATCGGCAAATTAAGGTAAGTAGAGAGATGCCTTGAGTCTTGAAAGCTTGGGTGCGAATCTATGACTCCTTGGAGTCTCTAGATTCATTTTAGGAAGCTTCAAGACATGCATAAGTGAATAAGGAAGGAGTCTTTGTATCTTGATCTCCTTTGGCTCCATGTATGGTAAGTAGTGACTCGTCGGGTTCTTGTGTGGTAGGGTGTACCATATATGGATTTGGGACACGTCCAAATAAAAATAAAGGATACTTTCCTTATCTCGCTCCAAGTAGATCAACGGCCCTGATTCAAAGGGTGGTTTGGACTTGGATCTTTTCTTGCTTGTTTTAGATGGGATGTGGCCTTGTGGTGAATCAAATGAGTGTGTCAAAAGATTTAAAATCCTCACAGCTTGCATTCTGGTATAGTTCAGCAAGTCTGTCAGCGAGTAGTTCAGCATGCTTGTCAGCTAGTAGTTCATCATGTCCATCAGCGAGTAGATCATAATGCACATCAGCTATTATCTTTGAATCATATGGATTGTGAATGATTTTTTGATGACTTGGTGTTGCCTCATTAAAAACCTTTCTAGGTACACCCATTGGGACAAACCCTAGACAAGGGAAAAAGAGTGCAACTGTCATATCCCAACAATAAGGTGATTTGATTTGCTGATTTTTATCCCTCTTGAACTATTGGACTTCTTAGGGTTAATATCATGGTGAATAATTAAACTTTGCATTGTATTTGATCAAAACTCCATTTAGGCAAAGATTCTCTAAAATTCTCCGTGTAGACAGGTTTGATGTGTGGACTGACTGGTTTGGTGTGCTTCCGGTTTGATCTAGTTCTGATGCCCGCATCACACAACCACATATCCAAGTTTCCGAAACATCCACATACTCAAAACAAGCATCAAAAAGTTTTATTAAGCTTAGATTAACTATGGTCACACACTCACCTCTAATTTGGATTGATTGAGACTAAAAACATCAAGAATACATCCACATAGTGGCCTCTATCACACCATAGCCATGAATCTATACTCGCTTCTCTTGTGCTCTCAGGATTAACAACAAGCCATACCTCTTTTATTTTCTCCCTAGAAACAATAACTAAATTGCAAACCAAAAATTACTAGTGTCGATCTACACCTGGAAAATAATACAAAATAACTCAGATTATACTAGACACCCAAGTTTATCTTGAAATTTAGATTCCATTAGAATATTTTAAACTTAGAGTTCGGATTCAGATCGGATTTTTTTGTTCGTGTTGGATTTTCGGATTCATAAATTATCCCTAGGCCTAATATTGGTCTAGAGACGATAACAAATACATTTTGTCATTTTTGTAAGAATTTCAAATAATCTTTTGAAAGAACAATGCAAAATAATTTAGTTTAAGAAAAAAAATGTAAAGAATTACCCACCAGATGGAAAAACAAACTGAAACAGACATACATCATTTATACTCTCACTCAAAGAAAACAATCAAAATAAATGTTACCAAAATACACTCTTTGTTTCATTTTTTTTTTCTCTTTTCTATTTGCGTTGATAGAAAACAAATCTCGAATTTGAGATGCTACCTCTATCAAATCGCCACCAAACCAACATCTTAGTCTTAGATAAGGCTATTACTTTAGGTTAACTGCTACCACCATTTCTTCTCTTCTTCTCTCCATTTGGACCACCTGTCGTTGCTTTGTCAGAATCCGACACTATCTTAGCTTTTCCAAGAGAAGTAGAAGATGAAAGCCTCTTCTTTGGCAGTACTGCCTGCGGAGGTTTCTTCTTATCAGACACAACAACCTTCTTCTTCTGCAAATCCAAGTTGCTTGTTGCTTCGACATTATTAACCTTTGGTTTCACAGTTTGCGTGTTAGCCAAGTTTCCTGTTGTTCCCACGGTAGCTTTTGATTTCAAAGCTTGCTTGTTATCCACGTTTCTTTTTGTTCCCAAACTAGCTTTAGATTTCACAGGTTGTGCATTACTCACTTTGCTTGTTGTTTCCATACTAACCTTGGACTTCACAGTTTGTGCATTACTCACTTTGCTTATTGTTTCCACAATAACCTTGGATTTCTCATTTTGTGTATTATCTAAAGAGTTTCTGCGCGATGTCGAGCTACCAACGCTCTCGTCATCTTTAACGTTTGTAGATGATCCACCAATGCTATGCCTACGATTAGTAACCTCGCTGGTTTTGCTCTTGGTATCATTGTTTCCAGACCATTGAATAGATTTTTGGCTGGATGACTTTAGTGTTTTAGGTCTGGCAGGAGAAGTCTTGATGCTGTTTTCGCGTTTGAAGGAGACTTGATCGTCGTTTGATTGAGGATCCCACGGACGAGAAGCCATCCATCGTTCAAGCCAACTCCAACCCCAGTCTGTTGTGTTTGTGTCCATCAGAGTTTGGTGTGGAAGTTTAGAAGAGTTTCTCCACGTTTGCTGTTTTATTATCCAACAACATCAATACATCTGTGAATATGACTAACTAAGTTCAAAATGAAGTTGTATTTTTACCTGATGACTGTAAGCATAAGCCAAAGCCCTCTCTCGTCTTACAGAAGCTTCTTTTCGATTCATCGACCTTGCCACGATCTGTTCCTTTGACTTATTGCTTACATCGAAATCTCCTGCTAGAACCTGTAACACAATTTAATCCATGTCTAAGAACTTTGGTTCACATAGTGTGGTGAAATCTATGAAAAACTTGTTTAGTTAGTTACCAAGCTCTGATTCTGATTGTTATCTTTCTGGTGACCCTTTTGCTCGATTAGCCTGTGACGAGTTTTGTTCTCGGCGGATAAGCGATTCCTCCTCTCTTGAATCTGTGTTTGTAAACGTGTAAGTGTTTGCATCGAGCTAAGCATCGCGTTCATTTGTCTTTTGACGTATCTTCCTTGTAGCAAAGCTTTAAGCCTGGCCATTCCTCGCAGCGCACGAAGAGTGCGTCTCGCCTATGAAAACTCATAAATATTATACTTAAGCCCATCATAATATAAGAGTAATGAATGAATGAATGATATGTATATACACCTTGTAACATCTGTATGCATTTTGGATCTTGATCGCAGCAGTTTCCTCCTTTGATACCACAATTTGATGTGTTGATGGGGTCGTGAGACGAACAACCTCCGCGGCAGCATGAGCAGCCACGACAGCTGCTTCGGCTGCAACAGCTGATGCAAGAGCCAGAGCTTGTCTAGTCTTCGCTTCATTAGACTCACCATATCCCGTATTACTAGATGATGCCGCTGCTGGTGGAGGAGGAGGAGGAGAAGGTGGTGGCAAAGACGGCTGAGGAGCAAAATCCGGTAACGGAGGAGGAGGAGGAGACGGTTGATAAACAGAAGAAGGCGAAGGGTCAACCGTTAAAGGAGGAGTCTCCTCAATAGGGAATTCAAAAGATTCTCTACTCTTTTGTTTCCCAAATGACCATTTCCTCTTAGGTTTCTCCGGTTTCTTGTAAAACAAGAAAAAAAACAAAAATATAATAGAATTAGCAAATCTTGATTGTATCATTAGGTTTTAATCATGTTCATGGACAAATAAATCAAGATTATTAGACTAACTTGATTCTTTTTGTCTTTGCCTCCTGGAGATAAACAAGACGCGGAGACACATGTTAACCAGCTCTTACCCATCTTCTTCTTCTCCTGAAATTTTCAGACAAATCTTTTTTTTCATCGAAACATTTTTTTCTTACAAAAAAAAAAGAGACAAAATACGAAATGAAATGTTTTGTGTGAAAGAGATGAGATTATAGACCTGGTCGAGGATGGGCCCCACAGTTTCGTGGGAACCCAATTGACTTTTGTAACGATTTGTGTGTTCTGTAAGAACGATTCAACAGATTTAACGACAGATACGTTTATAAGTTATAACTTCTTTTTTGTTTTTTTTTTCTTCTTCTACAAATGTTATTTTTAACTAGATATTATTTGTTTATTTCTGGTGTTGTTAGTTTTAGAATTAGTAGAATTTTAATATATTTTTTTATCTATTATCTTAAAAATGTTAAAAACAAATTTAGAATATTTGGGTTTTGAGTTTTTGATGATACTAATGCTCTGGATTCAGTTCTGGGTCTTCAACTTCATTTGGTTGCGAGTTTTCTTTATCAACAAGAAACTGAGTAAAGAAATCACAAAAATTGTGAAATTGATATGTCAAACCAGAGATCTTTTCTAAACGTTTTTCGGGCACATATATTTATTTTTAGATAGATTTGAATTTCTGCTCACGAAGGTTTCAATTTGATATATTATTTCTAAAAGCTTTACAAACATGATAGATTGATAGTAGTGAAAAGGCTATATTCCATATTTAGTTTAATCTTGTAGCATTGACTTTTATTTTCTCGATTTGGAAGGCAAATTTTCAAAAAATATCGGCTTAGAGGGTTATTTGCACAAAATCTATATAAATTAGTAAATTACGATAATTAAACGGTTTATTCGAAAATTAACAAGGAGAAGATGAAAGAAAAGTCATAAAAATAGTAAAGAGGATCATAAAACTCTAAAGTTTAATATAATGAATCCAAGATTAGAACGTATAACAATTATCCAACTTTATTAACAGACAAAAGAATAAAAGAAAGATTATAACGTATAACAATATTGTGTAGCTTTCTTTTAATTCCTATTTAATTGTTTGTTAAGTCGGCAGGCCGAGAGAGAGTACGTGCAAACCTCTTAATGTACTTTTATTTGTCTCTATCATCTTCACACTAAGTTAAGAGCTGTTTGTTTCTATGGCCATGAACTCACTCATAGGCTCATACCACGTCAATACGTCATACATACTACGGCCAATGTGTTATTAGACATTGTTTAGAGCTAATTAAAATGCTTTTTGACTCACCTTCTCTACTGAATTAAATGATTTTTTTTCTAGGTTTTGGGTTTGATTGTTTAGAGTTGTAGCTTAAGAATTTTGACGGTAGATTTTAAGTTGTAGCTATAGATCGTTGTAGGATTTTGCTATAGAAATTAAAATTTTGGAAAGCTTAAAATTATGTATTTTAGGAAAACTTGTTTTATAACGAAAAAAAATAATTAAGAAAATATTTATTAGCTTTAAATAAAAAAATTCCAAATTTTTCTAAAGCTTAATTGTTTTTATAGTAGATACAGAGATGTAGAGCAAGGTTGTTGAAAGATTATAAAGGCACAACCAATAAACTCTTTGTATCTTACGTTTATATATTTTATAAAAAAATTTGTGTTTATATCTTATGTTATATTAACATTGATAAGAAAAGATTCTCAACTTGTTTTTTATCTCTTATACCAAAGTATTTGAATGTCAAAGTATATTCTTTGGCATGCAAAACTCGTTGTTATCGGTATCTTGTCAAGTATGTAAACGATTATTTTCCCAATTGGCTCTAATGAGCCAATTTTATTTTGTTGTTGACAAAAAAAAAATTTACGTTATAATTAATAACTTGTGTGATTGTTACTTCCTCTACTGTCTAATATTTTATCTCCTAGTCAAAATTATCTTCTAATATTTTATCTACGTCAGCTTCATTCCACAGAACATCTTACCATAGATGGATCATGCCTTTTGCTAAAATTTGTATATGGTCGAAAAGGATTTTTGGAATCAATTAGAGTCTGGTGGACAATCTGCCAATGGACAAACCTAGCTCCTCTGGGCTCGTTTCCTCTAGTTGATTTCATGTCGTGCGATGGCTTGAAGCAATTACTGAAAATGCAAATTAAAAGAACAACTATTTATGAAAAACCTAGCTATATATAGATTGTTAGGTGAAAAACAAAATTAACTATTTCCAAAAAATATCTATAGATAGAGATTAACATTAATGGGTCAGAGGCAAAAACAAAATGTAAAAACATTGACCCTTTGTCCATGTAAATTTTGTCAGCTCGTCTCACCATTACAAATCAAGAAAGCATATTGTCCTAACAATATCTACACTAGATTTTGAGGAAGCACCAAAACCCTCCTCCTCTTTAAAATGAAACTGAGTTAACCCCAAAAAATCATCTCAAAAGAGTCGGCAACCTCTTCAACATCCTGGATTCGAGTAACATTGCGGGGTGCCGTGCGATCTCATCGTATTTAGGGGCCTCTAGGTTTAAGTTCGACATTCAAAACCAAAAACCAAAAGAAAAATGCCAAACCCTTGCCTTAGATTCTAATTTACAAGAAATTTCTCATTTGTCTTCAATGAATATTTTGTTTATAAAGTCTCTAAACCGTCGGGAATAAAGCTTAGGATCAACAGCTGAAATGGAAGTGGGATCTGCGTGGAGTGACTTGTAGGCGTGCTCTAGTTTTTTGGTGATATCATAGTCTTGAAGAATGTCAATTACACCAAAATAAAGGATCACCTCAAGGACCTCTTTCCTTGTTTCTTTAGAATTTGAGTTGTCAATGTCGTCTTCTTCCCACGACTCTTCCTCAAATCTTCGCACCTGCTCTGCTTTTGCCGGTGTACTTTCTCCTAGTCTCATTAAGGGTCCGTTACTACATTTTAAAAGACATAAACAAATTATTGCCAAAATGAAAAGAGGGGATATATTTACTTTGATTTGATCTTCTAAGCTTTTGCTAGTGTATCAATGTATGTATAAGTAATATTAAAAGGTTCATTTGAAGTTAGTGAGAATTTTTCAATCAAGTAAACTCTAATGTTTATATGATATATGGTTTAAACTAGTTATGCTGATCAAAATTGAGCACTTATATGAATGATAGAATCCAAGAACTAGTTGGATAATATATGGTTATGAATTTAAAACTCGAGAACTGGTAAGTTAAGGTACCAAGTTTGGGTGACAGAGTCCATATTTGGAAGTGAATTATACCCTCTCATCAATTTGTCCTCCTGATCTCTTCGACCTGAATTAAGCAAGCAACTAATTTTTGTGAGAAAAAAGAAGAAGAAATACCAAAAACTAAAGTTGAAAGAAATATAAGAATGATCTATACCTATGCCCAAGGAAATGTCATCTCGCAAGCCAGATTCACGGAAATGGAGACCAATCAAGAGACTATAGTCCATAATTCTTTCAGCTTCAAGGAACTCACAGTCGATATCGATTTGGTTGATAAAGGCTTGAAACCATGACTTTTCAAGTCGAAACACATACTTGAGATCTAAGTCTTTGAGTGTTGTAGTCTCATCGATTTCACCTTCATCTTTATCAATAGTACGGCCGTGTGATGAACCTTTCAAGTCAAACCGTTTGTGTATCCGATACTCCGAACAAAACAGATTGCCCATCACTATGAACCGAGTCTTTATTTTTTTTTGTCACAAAGATAACAAGAAGTAAGATTTTATTTGATTTATGTACATAAACTTGTAATGAAGGATCATTTACCTTTTGGCCTCCTACCGGTTTGACGCAATGCACACCAAAGAACTTGGTGACCAAAGAGTTCTTGTTCTTGGAAACGTGCTCGTAATAATTTGGAAGCATCTTAAGCAATACCTAAGAATGGTTTTAAGAAACTTAAAATCTATTGTGTTATTTAAAGTAATGTGAAATAAAAAGATTATATAAGTTACCTTAATTTCTGATTTTTTCATGGTTTTGATCATGAAGCGTTCATCTTGAGTCAAGTAAAAGGAGCTTCCACTCTTTCCTGGCGAAGAAAATTCTCGAAGAGATTCATTTCCGCAAATAGCGAGCATATAGTCTGCTTGATCTATTGCAAATAAGTCTCTTAGATGCCTGTTTCACCACGCAAAATGTGCAATCAGAAAAAAAAATGGATCATTTTTCTCCAAAACTCAAAACTCTTAGTACATTTACTTACCTGAACACAATAGGGCAATAATCCTTCCATTTGAACTCGACGGAGAGATGGGGAGGCGTAGATTTAGAGCCTTCCGGGGGAAACCTGGTCCATTGTTTATCCTTGGGATCAAAATCACAATGCCTAAGTTCCCTTAAAAGGGAAGCATGTTTCCCGACAGAGTACCTAATCCCAAGTTGTAGATTTAACATCAACTCATAATTCTTATGTCCGGCAGTAACCGTATGCCCTGGTTTCTTACAATCTCCTTCATCTAACCATCTTGGACTTTGTTGCAAACTCATTGCACCACCACTCTCCAAAAGCAAAGAACTTCTTGCCCACTCATGCTCTCCACATCCGCTTGTATCCGACTCACTCGTGTACGGACTCGCCTCTACATGATCACACAAGCTAGTATCCTCCAACTCCGATATACAAATCCTCGGAAAATTGGTATTCATTGACAAAGTTTCAACGGAAGAGAGCTTATGATGATGTTGCACAATCTCATCATCTTTCTTCTTGCACTTTCTCCCCCACCCATTATTACTAGTCTTCTCCTCACCCCAACTCAACACCCCTTTCCCAACCGGGGCACCATTTTCCCATAGCCCATCATAACGGTTTCCATTAGCCCAAGTCATAGCCCCTTTTCCAGAGATAACACCATTCTTCCACTCTCCTACATACTCATTCCCATCGCTCCACACATAACGTCCATTACCATCTTGTAGATTGGCCTTCCAGTTTCCTTGGTAAACATCTCCATTCGCATATCGCTTCTCTCCATAGCCATGCTTTCTTCCCCACAGCCAATGCCCTCTATAAGTGTCGCCATCGATACCAATAAACGTTCCTTCACCGTCCATTCGACCATCCTTGAACTGACCCTCATAGGTCGCTCCCGATGGCCATGAAAAACGTCCTTTACCGCTTGCTTTGCCGCGTGTCCACTCCCCTTCGTACATACAACCATCCGACCAAAGATACTTCCCTGTCCCATGCGGAACTCCCGCTGATAAGCCTCCATTATAAAGGTCTCCATTCTTAAGCACCTTCTCTACTATTCTAATCTCCGCAGCCGCATCATTCACCTCACAACTTGTCATAGGGACAACACGCCGAGAGCTTTGTTTGTATTTGCCCCCTGAGGATTGTCCTTTGTTCAGATTCTCTTCTGTGAAGAGGAACACAGTCTCTTGCATTTTGCTATCTTCTTCTTACTCTACTCCAAGCCCTCCAGAGTCAGACACATATCTCGTTGACTTTTTTTAATGGCTTGTTTGTTGTCTCCTCCAATAACATTTAGTGTTCAAACATTTCTTCTGTTCTGTTATTGTTTTTTTAATAACAAAATCAACTTAAATCAGTGACAATATAAATGATAAAAATCTTAATGGATTTATTACAATCAAGATCTTGTATCCAAAACAAAAGAAAAATCTCTAAAGAGTTTAATTAATGTCATTTCCTCAAATTGGTATCTGAAATGTAAAAAACTTGTCCTTACATAAATCATTTCTAGATTGGAATGATCAAAACAAACAATTCAAGAACCTTATATCGAGTGGTAATGAACAAACACAACAAAATTCTCAGAACAGAAACAAATGTACCTGAATAGTTAGAAGAGATACCGATGTATCGTCAACCGAAAACATGACAAAAGTAGTCCAGAAAACAAGATAGTGTAATGGATTCGATGATCCAAATTCGTAAAAGCAAAGAATATAAAGGTTTGAAGGAAAGATTTAACAGAAAAGTCAGAGAATGGTGAAAACTCTCTTATCAAATCATCGGTTCAACGATGAAAATGTAGCCGTTTTTTCGATTATTTATGTAGCCGGCAACAAGACTACGTGCTCACCTCTATCATCATCAATTTATATAAATCATTAAGTATGTTTCTGATTAAGAATTATTTGGTTTTGAGAAGATCTAGTATATGGTTCGATATCATATAAGAATATACGGTACTCTTAGGTGGAGCTAATAGACAAGTATCTAAAGATATAAACAATGTTTTGGGAACGTGCTTCATGGATACAATCATGTGCCACAAGTCAGAAATCGATACTTACTCTTCTCCTCACCGTTGTGGTCACACAACTCATATATTATAAGTCACACAAGTCAAAGTTACATTTTACTATTCCAAAGTTTAATGATCTTATCATAATTTGAAAATTATTAACTAATCTTGATATGATGTTGTGTTTATACGGTGTTTATACGGTGACCTTAACATGAGAGAATGTTTAATTGAGTACACACTGTAAAGTGAAACATATGGGTTTTGACTCTTAACAGTTAACACAATACAACACTATAATGTCTAACATCAAGTAGCTCAAGGTGATTTGGTGGCTTAGTGGTACCTCCAATTTGGTTACAAGAAGATTGGTTTAATGGTGCCTACGACGGTCTTTGGATGAGTGTGATGGATCACGGTAATCACGGTCGCGAGAGGAGTGATGTCTTGATTTATCTGAATGTCCACTTGAATCTTTCAATCTGTCCCTTGACCGGTGATGACTTCGCTCTTTGAGTTTGTCTCTATCTCTATCACTATCCTTATCAGAATCTCTGCCTCTGTGAGACCTCCCCCTGTCCCTCTCTCTGCCTCGTTCCTTCTCTCTATCGCTCTCTCTTTCTCTTTCTCTTTCTCCAATTTTACTTTTTTCCTCCCTTGAGTCTCCTACAATTGGCTGACTGTGTGACTCAGTATCGCTCTTTTTGGAATCTGTAGTCTTTTCGTGAGGCGTAGTAACCATTCCATCCTTTGAGTCGTTATTAGCTGATCCTGGAGTACACTTTGTATCAACAGCCTCGCTTACTGCCGGCAACACATCCTGTAACACAGTGGAAAAGTACTTCAAACCTAGCTCTGATTACTGAAAAAATAAAATGCACTCAGATTAATTCAGATTTGGATGAACCGACAAAACAATGTAAACGATGACCCTGCTTAAATTCTACACAACAGTTAATGTGGTAGTGGCTTTTTCGTTTGCTCCTTAAGAAATGGACTCAACATCCAGAGTCTAGAAATTTAGTGTATGGACAAAAAAATCACAAAAAATCTGGATAGGAATCTACTTCACCTTTGTAGCTGATTGAGCTTGAGGATTCGCAGATCTACTGGAAAATGTAAATGGCTTCCCATCCTTGCAAACAGAGAGATACTGAGCCTTTGGAAGGCTGTATAGATGAGCAAGAACTCTACACACTTCGTCAATACTAGATTTATCTGCATCAAATGCTTTCCACCAGGGTGGATTCTCCGGGAGAGGCACTTGAAACCTACGGGCAGCAGCATACACAACCCCACATGCCACAACCTCACTTCTGAACCTCACACATAGGGTTGTACGCAGACTGCAAATATAAACATAGAGATTAAATAAGGAAAATCATAATCAGATATTGAAAAAGTATGACAAAATACTCATATCAAATCAGCACATTGAATATGTCAGGACACAACTAGTATACCCAGCTTCAGCTGAAATGTCACCTCTAAACCTAATAAACAGTATGATGTACCACTAACTATCAAGTATATAAGATAATATTCATAGGAAATTTTGAAAACAGGAGTTACCTATCATTTGCCAAATTCCAAGCTTCTTGCCTCAATTCTGGAGGTGTTTCAAGTGTAGCAAGGTAGTTCGATATGAACTTGTGAGGATGTTCAACATGACAAACAAAACCCATCTCTTTCAGTATATGCCTCTCAGTTCTGCTTAATTCAACTTTCAACTCGGAGAACTTCTGTAAAAAAGCCAACAAGAAGGAAAACAAAATATAAGAAAAGTTATAAAAGGTGGCAGCAACTCAACTTCTTGCATGGCACAGCACATATGGACATGAAAAACATTCAATATGACAAATGCAATTGGTCAGAAGTAACTGTGCAGCAAGTAAACTAACCTTGGAATACATATCCAGATGATCTAGTGGTAAGTTCTCCCTGCGGCACTCCATCCTGTGGAATACAATGATTACTTGTCTTGCTTTCTTAGGGTTTTCTTCAAGTTTCGACGCAAGCCAGACACAGCTCGCAGCAACTATCTGTACAAGGTAAACCACAAGATCATTACAGTAATAGACAGCAATATACTACTAATGAATTACAATACTGAAACTAAATCCACCACCAAAAGCCCTCAAAGCAGATAACTATAAGAAAGAAAGAAAATAAGTACCTTAACGTCAAATTTGGCCAGAGATTTCTTGCAGTAGAATCGGTGGAAAAGAACCTGTCCGGTAGCCATAACTGCCTGGGGGCTAAACACAACAATATAGGTTAAGAAAATCAAAAGCTATACGACAATTTGAGTTTTGCAAAAATAATTAGACTAAGAAAAGGATACAGTTTGAGCAATATTCCACCCTCCTGGATGAGATCACATCCATAGATTCTAAGAGAGGTTTCAGTTGTTTCATCTATCCCATCTTTCCTAGAAGGTGAAGCCTTCAACTGCTCGTCGGTTATGTAGAAATTGTCTATCGCAGTGTAAATCATCGGTTCACTATATGTTGAGGGTCTCTGTTACAATCAAGAGAAGACAACTTAGATTGCTCCACAGACTAAAATTGCCACAGTAGCAAATCACAAGACAATAAAGAAACTTACTGAAACAAATCTTAAGCATGAAGTTTTATAATTTCTTTAAGACAGTTGTACATGAAGTATCCCAAAGCATCAAATCCCAATACATTATTTCAGCTAAGTAACAAACCCTTTTCAGATATCACAGCCAAGTTATAAAACTAATCAGTACACACTACATGAGCAACAACGTAAAAAAGCGAATACTGCATAAGAGAATGAAATCGAAACCAATCTACTCTGTCATCACTTTGTGACTAAACTTAAATGATGCTAAGATGAAGGCAAGAACAGTGTCTGGTTCTATATCAATTGTAGGCAATTTTGGGTTATCTTAATGCAAAAGATACATCAGTAGTATAAAATCCAGAGATTCAAAGTATGATTCAGAGGTCAGAGAGACCTTATACTAACCCTAACTTCAGAATTAGGATTTTTGCTAAAACTTCCGAATCACAAACTGATTAATATATTGTAGCATTTTGCTACAATGATAATGAGATTATGGTCTAGTTTCAACTAAGTTAATCTGAGATCAAGCAATTTCGAAGCAACCAAACCTAACTGAGATTAAGCGAAGGAGGTAATCACAATTAGAAAGAAACAAAGGTTGGGTTGAATCGGAAAATGGTTAACGATTTACCAGAACAGCGGAGAGACACGGCGGTGCGACAGAACCACGGCGAGGCAAAATCGGGAATCGAGGTAGAAGAAGCGAAGGAGGGAGACAAAGGAGCAACTAAAGAAAAGTAATACTAATAAATAAATTATAAGTTATAATCTTTTGCTCTTACAAGAAAAAACAATTTGGGCCTGATTTAACTCGGCCCAATTCTCAATTGGGCTCTTAATAAAATTCATGTTGGTTGACTTGAGGGAGTGTTGATTTTTAAACGGTTGACTTTTAAAAGCTTTCGGATATTATTTTGGCTGTGTAGAAGACTTTGACTAGGTTAGAGGGTTTCGGGCATCGATAAAACCAGCACAATGGTGAAAATGAGGATTGCAGTTATAAAAGCAACGTGATGGTTACATGCCTAACCTATATATATATATGGTTTAAAGAAAATAGAATATTGGCAAAACAACGTCGTTTTGTTCATCCTAGATGTCATGTTATAGCGAATGTTATCGCTTGACTCATCACTGTAAAACGTTTAATTAACACCGTTTTGAAAGATTTTAAAATTGGTTGATTTTATAAAACTGAAGTTTGGAAATTTCAGTTTTTAGTATATTCAGGTTGGTAATTGCATTGTGCCGTAAGTTAGTTATAAAAATACTGTCGAAAAATAATTTGGGTTGATTTTGACCATTTTTCTCAATAGTAACACTACCTACAATTATTACATGTTATATACATTATTTTTCATGAGAATAGATTTGTCTCTTGGACGGGCTGCCATATGTTTGTCCATATCGATATAGACCATGAATAAAATAGTTTTTAAACTGGATTTTAGCTTTTAGTTTTTGGATTTTCGTTTTTAGTTTCTAAATATTTGATTTTTGGATTATGCTAAAAAAAGGTTAAAAAAAATAATAATAAATGAAAATTGAAAAGTAAAAGAAAATATACGCATCTTGAGAGAAACCATTAAAACTGGTTTTTGGTTTTTTTCGAAAATAGGTAAAATCTTATGAAAGGTAAATTCTCTATTTTTTAAGAAAACCAATTTATAAGATCTCGAGTGGCAACAAATTATATATATTTTTTAAAACTAAAATCAAAATATACCTAAAAACTAGTTAACATTCAAGGCTTAGACATAGACGATTTTTGAACTATTGTCATTTACGGACCGACCAACTACAAATCGTTTATATATATTCATATAGAAAAGTCTCATAGTCTATAGATCAATCTACCTAAAGATGATTTCTATTTTCAAAGTAATTTTACCAAGTCACATAATTAAGTAACTTTGTTAGTCACTTTGTGACGTTTTTAATTTTCAAAATAATAAGTATCCGCTAAAACCAAAACCAAGGATAGGTCAAATTTGTAAAGGTTGTGCCTGTCACTAAACTATTGACTTCGTGCACCATCGTTTTTGTCTTCAATATAGTTACAAAGATGTTGTGTGGTTTGGTTTCATCACCTTCGTTATTCCTTAATCATGTGGCTAGCCTTTAATGTTTGTTTTGTGGTGAGCCAAATAAGACAAGTGATCATCAAACTTGTTTGAATTACTCAATTCACTATATGGATAGACATATGTAAGTTGCAACTACAAATATCGTATCTCCACACTTAGGAGCATACAACATCACGAAGATGTAGTCGTGTTGACTCTACTCTTCTCCGGTTTAAGCTTCCAAGTCGTGATCTATCACATAAAGTAACACGAGTAACACTATGAAAAAAAGGGAATTTTATTCGTACTACCATCAAATCGACTTTTGATTTTCTCAAATACCAACTTTTGAAAATCTTTTTGCAAATGGGAAAAATGTCATAAAAATCCCAAACTTTCAAATTTGGGACGATTTAATCCCAAACTTTAAAGAAGTTATTTTAATCACAAAGTTTTGTTGACTTTTCCGTAAAATAGCTAAGTTTTGTTGATTTAGCCGATTTAAACATGACGTTTAGTTTCTCTTAAAATTGCAAAGACATGGTTAACTATCCGTGAGTTGCTTCCGTTTTAAACCACAAAACGACGTTGTTTAACAAACTGAAGAAACTAAATCTCAAAATTGATTCATAATTCACAAATCTAACTCCCTAACCCTAAAAGAATCCACAAATTCTCTTTACTTTTTGTTGAATTGTTGCCATAGCGCGGATCCATAGAGGAAGAAAATGACTTCCAACGTCGTTTTGTCGTCTAAGATTCATGGTCATTTAGGCTAAACAGAAGCAACTCACAGATAGTTAACCACATGTTCAAGTTTTTAACAAAAATTAAATGTCATACTTAAATAAATGAAGTCAACAAAACTTAGCTATTTTACGATAAAGTCAACAAAACTTTGTGATTAAAATGACTTCTTTAAAGTTAAGGATTAAATCGTCCCAAATTTGAAATATCGGGATTTTTATGACATTTTTTCCTTTTGCAAATACCATTTTTGTGTGTTAGAACATGTGAAAAAGACGAAAATATCTCTGAGTTATCCATGATTTTTTCTTTATTGTCCACGGTATTGTCTACCAACTTTGATATCTTGTATATACGATGACGAATAATTGAATGATCATCGAATATATAGAAGTATTGTTATCAAAGTGTTGTCTGTATAGGTATTACCCATGTTCCACGATAATGTCACAAATTGATAAATATTGAAATAAATTTACATAAGTCCACGAATATATATAGGTATTATTGTCCACCACGGTATTATCTATATAGATATGGTCTATGTTGTGCATAATGTTGTCATTTTCTTAATTGATATTTTATGTAGATTAGTAACATTATGAGGAAAATAAAGTGGTAGGACAAACGTAATTCAAATATTTTTCTTTTATGTGGTCGCTACACTAAGTAACGAAATATTTTTGATATTATTAAGAATAAAGAACTTTTCATGCATAGGCTGAATACAATAGTGCGATGATTGTCTCTATTTGGTAGAAACTAGAAACTGTCTCCCCGTGAACAAATTCTGACAATAGACACAAAATCACAACTTGTAGTGTTACCACTTTACCTTTAAATACTCTTTAAGAATATTTAAATACGGATGATTCGATTCCAAATATAAGTCAAAACAAACCGACAAGAATGTTTTCTTCTGTTTTCTAAGAGTTCAATGAATCTAAATTTTGGGTGATTTATGTGAGTATGTAGGTTAATTTCAAGTTAAAATATAAATACAATGGGTTAACTTTTTTTCAAGTTTGTTTAATTAGGATAGGCGCAAAGCTAGAATAGCTCTTAATGTCTACGAGACTACAGTATCCGCATGTCTCGAGACAACATGAAGAGACTACAATATCCGCATATCTCTCGACTACAGTATCCGCACATCTCGAGACTTTAATATCGAGACTTTGAAACTACAGCATCGATACCAAGACTACAATATTATCGAGATGACAACATTATTGAGATGACAATGTTATCGAGACTACAATACTGAGACTACAGTACTTACTTTGGTTAGCCAGAGGTATCTCGACAAATTGGAGATTCGTTGCAGGGTTCACTATTGGAGGAAGCACCATATCTCCTATATCTGAGATCACAGCTCTTAACTGAACTCACCAGAGCAGGTTAGTTCTGTTTTTGGTTATTTAAAATTTTGAAAATTACATTGAAAAAAAAAGAATTCAAAAAACTATCAAACCTATCATTTTTTTTTTTGTGATGGACAGGAGGTAGAAACCTCTTATCTTTTATTCAACATTAAAAATAAAAATTACATACGGACATTCCGTGGTAATGCAACACCGTTCACATCATCTAGTCGCACCGAATCACACACATCCGTACAAACTTATAACAATTGAAAACCAAGCGGTAAAATAAACACATAGTTTTCTAACGCGTCCGCCAGACAGTTAGATTCCCTATACACGTCAGTAACCCGAACTATCCAGTTCTTTGAAAGAAACCCATGTCACAACCGTACCAGGAAAGCTAACGGGTGAGTATCATCCACCCCGAACTTTAAGAAGTTCACCACTAGCTCCGAATCCACCTCCAACACCAACTGTTTCCAATCTCGTTCCCAAGCCAAAACCAATCCATAATATACCCCCAAAGTTCTGCCATTGGAGCCGTACATATGCCAATGTGAAGAGCAAAACCAACCAAGCAAACCCCGCCTTAGTCACGAATAACCCCTCCTGCTGTGGCCTCCCCCGGATTGCCCCGTGAAGCCCCATCCGTATTAATACTTAGCCATCTCTCATTCGGTTTCGTACACGCAATATGTCTCTCTACCCATTCACCCGTATGAGCAGCAACACCAACAGTCGAATGAGTACCTCCACGGCCACCTTCTTTATAAACCCCAACCTATCACGGCACAACCCACGTTCCCCGAACACATCCTTACATCTCCACTTCCAACCCCACCATATTGCCATACCAAACATCGTAGGCCAACTAACATCTCCTACTACAAATGTCGTCGTCAAGTTCGCAAACAACCATTCTAAAATAGTTTGCGTGAAGAACACGGTTTGTTTGTCAACCGGAACCAAACGAAGCCATATACCGTGCATAGCCGGACAGTCCCTCAAAACGTGGAGGATCGTTTCCTCTCCTCCATTACACACCGTCGTCTCACCCATTTGTCTTCGAAGTCTTTCCATATTCATTACTTGGTGAGACACCAATCATAGAAACAAGCGGACTCTCTCCGGAGTCACAACACGCCAAATCTCCTCATAGAATCGAGTCATACATTGAGAAGCCATTCCATCATGTGTGATCATTGAATACGCTGACTTCACCGTGAAACATCCATTTTCCGACGCTTTCCATGTCAAATTATCCATTAGACCGGGAACGCCTTTGACAACTACAACATACAACATCCGACATATATTCCCAGGTAAGAACTCCTCTATACTTGCCATATCCCAACCAACACCGTCTATCCAATACTCCTCCACCGTACTCGCTTTAACCGCTTTCGATAAAGGACCCGAGACCCATTCTAACAATGGTTGGTTAAGGATCCATTTATCAATCCAAAAACGGATCCTTGACCCATCACCAGGCACCCAACCTAACCCTTTCAAAACGACATCCCTTAAACCAACACCAATACTTCTCTAAGTAG